AAAAAAAACAAAAAACAAAAAAAAAGGACAAAATGGGTTGTGATTGCTCACTTTTGGGATAGTATCTCGGTGGTTGAGCATTGTGCCTGGGCTGTTAGGAATCCCAAATTTTTGCTTTATGCCCAAACAAAATTAGATATATTAGATATTGTGGGAGACCTACCTAATACTATTAGGATTAGGGTCTCGCCGGGTAAGGTAAAACCGTAAAAAATTAGGAAGAGGTGTTGTATTCCTAGTTTCCTTTGTGTACTGGTGTTGAATCGTTTTATTGTATGGTGTAAGATTCTGGATCAGCTTGCAGGTTATGTGCCACATGTTTTTCATCAAGAAAAAAAGAAATAGGAAAGGAAAAATATAGAGGGTGTTTGGGAACCTGACTCGTGTGTTATATACCTTATTTTTTGCTTGAGAACTCGTCTAATAAATCTTGTTTATGGATTTTTATGGTGTCTGTGTACAAGTTTCTTGTTGCAGATATGGTTTTAATATAATGTTTCAATCTGATTGTGGTTCATACTGATGATGATTTATGTCCAACCACCACAAAAAGCTGCGTCTTATGGAATTGCATCAGATGCTTTTGTTATGTTATATGCAAAGCTATTTGCACATGTTATGTATGTTGAGAATTTGTTGTTTCTAGTTTGTATTTCACGATACCAGGAAGGTATGACAGCTTACAGCTCTGTCTTTTAAAATCAATGGAGCCTTACAAGTTATTATTATGCATCACAGCTTTCTTTCTCTTTCTTTTTTAATGCTACTCCACAGTTATTGGTTCAAGTGAACCTCAAGGAACTTTGCATTCATTTTCACTTTGAAATCTTGCAGGATGACCGAAACACCTTTCAGGCCAAGAGAGAAGCTTCTTGAGAAGCAAAAGTTTTTCCAGAACATCCATAAGCATACTTATCTGAAAGGACCAATGGACAAAGTAACCTCAGTGGCCATTCCTTTGGCTTTGGCTGGTTCCTCTTTGTATCTCATTGTGAGTTCATTTTCTCCTATATTATCCATTTTTTCCTCTTTTTGAATATCTAAGCTTCTCAAACCTCAATTGATCTTAAATTAACTAATGTTATCCAGGGAAGAGGAATCTATAACATGTCTCATGGGATCGGAAAGACTGAATGAACGGATGTTTCTGTTCGTGGGCGACCCAAATAGAGGTCCTTGTTTGAAGTTCGAAATCTGGAATATGGTTTTTGTTCATTAAGGATCTGCATTTCATTTGCTAATAATTACGGAATGTGGACAATTTGATTAGTGGATGTGTTTTGTTTGTCATCGACAAAAAATATGATGTAATTGAGATTTATTTTCACACCGTGATTCTGTTTTGGTGTGGGTGTTGAATGATCAACTTTCTGAAACATGATATTTTGTCTCTCAGAATAATTGAGATAATTATCAATTATAATGAGTCGGTCTCATGAACAAAACAATTCCGTCGTCATATTAGTTGTATGACTATTAACGGAATTATACTTTAGGAAAAAAAAAATGTATACATATCCTCCCTATATATAATTCCAGAATGCGCTGAGCCTACGTGGCTGCTTCTGGTGCTTCGGAATCCTACTTGGCGAAGAATCATACTTCGTAATTAGGTTTGGACAAATAATATTGATATATTAATAATTAATAATCCAGGTTCGGACATTCCATAAATATTATTTATCTAATTTATGTATTTTAATATCACTTGTACTAATATAACCTTTAATTATTGCACTAAGTGACTAATATATCTCTAACTTTAATTTGTTTCCTTCAATTAGCTATTGAATTGTAAATGTATTTTAAAAGTTGATAATTTTTCTATTTCTTATCGGTTTTACATATATTTTATATCAAATTAATCATCTTTTGATGATCTTCGATTTGACATCCATATTGTATATATGAAATAAATAAATTATATTTATCTTTATAGTAATAAAAAATAAAAATATTTATTAAAATTCATTAGAAAAATAAAATTATTTATCAATTGATATATTTATTTTTAATGTAGTTATATGTTGTAAATTAAAAAATTATTATAATATAACACAGGTAAGTCGCACAAATAAAAAGTGTCATACTAAATATATTATAATATATATTTTTGTAAAAGGTATCTAAATTTTCAACTACTTTTTCTCATTAATTTTAGATTTTAAAAAAATAATTAGCAAGCACCCGTGTATCAGCACCCGTGTAATACACGGGTGTTGTACTAGTAATAATATATAACTAGTGCAGTACCCGTGCGATGCACGGCGGGCGCATAATTTAAAACATATTGTAATACCTATTTAAATGTAATTAATTAAACTTAACATGTAATTATGCAAAACATAATTAAAATAAAAAAAAATCATATATTATTAAAAACTTCTCTGTACACAACATTATTTGTTTGATTCGGGGGCATCTCATGTTCACCACATATTAGAATTTTCAAACCCTTCAGCAACATATAGCTGGCCATGACTGAAAACTGGTTTTTTTCAAGAATAAACCAACGTGCGATAAGGATTGGCCATGGCTCTTGTTAATAGTCATTGCATAAGAGACCACGACAGGGAACTGCCTTCGTTGAAACTTAAAAGGTATTCTTGCATCCGAAGGAGTTATCGTCATCCGAGGTACCAACACTTTTTCACCTGCATGGTCGCCCGTTAGTATCCTACATTCTAGGACATGACTGGAGAGTCTGGTTACAACCAAACGTGTCCCGTTGCACAAGCCCACAGAATGATCCATGTTCCGCAACAGCATAACCGGAGTTCCCACCTTCAAATGCAACTCATGATTTGGTGTACCAGAACATTTGAGAGAATTTAAGAACTCGGGAGTGTGGATTTTTGACAAGAAGTCAGAATTCAAATCGGATTTACACGTACTGTCGGAGCTCAAATATACACAACCTTCTGTCAGATTCAACGACGACATGTATTGGTTGATAGACTCAACAATCTCCAATGTAGGTGCAAGTATGGCTCTGTCCTTCAAATAACTTGGATCATCGGTTGCATTCTTGAACATTGGATACGTGCTCTCAAAAATTGCAGCAATGGGATCATCGGATGGTGCTATTAACAGATCATCAGGTATTTCAATGAAGGCACAACCATCATTATAACCTCCAATAGTACCATCTCCGATGCTAGCAATCCAATCAGCAAATTTAGAAAGCTCCTCACGTTCATCTGAATCATCAAGGCTCTGAAGACGCATATTTTTCGTTAGCCTAAGCACTGTACAATCTTGCCAAATGGTTGAAGCATTTAACGAAGCATTAACAATCTGTTGACGATTCCCCTTTGGAATCACCGGGAGAATTTGTCGAGAATCTCCACCAAAAACGACAGTCTTGCCGCCAAAAGGTTTGTAATGGTTGATCGGGTTGACCGTTCCCATGACTGCGTGAAATGACGTTTGAACAGCTTCGAAGCCATGCTTATGCATCATTGGAGATTCGTCCCATATGATGAGGGAGGACCGTATAATTAGCTCTGCCAGAGGGCTAGCCTGGTTGATATCACAAGACGAATTTTCGTGAAGATTAATAGGTATGCCAAAGCGAGAGTGCGCAGTTCTTCCACCAGGCAACAGAAGAGAAGCTATTCCACTCGATGCAACACAAAGCACGATCTCACCCTTTGATCGTAATCCTGCAGCTAAAGTCCTCCACAAGTATGTCTTACTGGTACCGCCATAACCGTAGACAAAGAAAACACCGCCCTGACCTGAGTCTACCGCTGCCATAATTTTTGAATAAACTCCTTTCTGTTTGTCAGTCATATCTCTAAGAAGAGTACTGTGCTCGACTGATAAGGCCTTGCAGTCATAACTTAGCTCATCCAAAATCAGACGATTTGTATTTGTAGTAAAACTGGTCATATTAGGAAAAGGCATTGTTGGATATTCCCGAAGACTCGTGCCGCGACGTCTCAACAAATGTTCGATTTCAGCGAGAGCTAAATTCTTTTTATCTGCATCACTTAGTTGCAAACCTAAGAACGAAAAGGATTCAAAGTCAGCATTTTAAAAAAATGGAATATAGTACTTAAACAGGATATGAAAATTAATAAAAAAACAATAAAACGTAAATACAGAATAAGTCACATACTTTCATTATTGAAGAGAAGACGTTGCCTATAGATGATGTCATCAGAGAGAAAATCCACACACGTTTCCCATACGTGCTTGGGCCTACCTAACGAACCGGATACCAACAACGTCGCAAACATACGTCGTAGAGAATCAACAGATGCCCAATGACTTGCCTCGGATATGCTATCAACGTACTCACGATCGTCACCCAACAAACCTAGTGCATGGCAAGCATCACGATACGACGAATATTGAACGTTGTCGACCTTCATATAATCTTCATGGCAAGTTGCTCCGCGTATTACATTAACCAAACACCTCAAATAGAAATTATCGCCAGCGTTTAGAGGAACATAGCGCAGACGGGCTATAGCACCTTCTCTGATTCGAGGAGTCCACTCTCTCAAAGTTGTGTTCCAAACAAATTTCGATGGTGCCTCAACATAAGTAAGCTCCCTCGCCTCAGGATATATCTTGTTCGCTTCCATCCATGCCAAAAGTTGACTCTCATTTACAGTGGGTTTTTTAATAACCTCATCAATTCGATCTTCATCCTCAAAAATAACATATTGTTCGCCTTTCAAGTGGAAACTCAAACGTTGTACGGGAGGTTTTTTATACTGAAGTTCATAACCCAACAACCTCCAAGCCGCCTCACATGAAGAAACATATCTACAGTCGTAGAACATGTTAATCTCGTCAACAGGCTTTTCAGGCTCTCCATCTCCAGTCGACTGATAAAACGATGTGGTGACACGATCATTGCCCTTATTGACATATTTGAAGAGGTACTTGATGGACCGGGACTGATTGCACCACTCAACATTTATGTGAGCACCATACTTCATCAACAATTTTCGATTGTGGGGCACGACAAAACCGTTATGGACAACTACACCATTTTTCTCTATATGTCTTCCATTGTCCCGACGTCTGTAACGCGGATAGCCTTCATCATCAACAGACGTGAATTCAAGAAATGGTTTTGGAAAACATTTACTGCATTTCCCGTCAACCATGCACGGAGATTGCTGGCCAATCCGCATGGGCCATGGATCATGTGTTCCTTTACAGCTTCGTAATAAGACGGATCTGAAAACTCATCAGGTATCTCAGCAGATATGATTCTATCTATGTCAGAAGGATCTGGAAATTTGTTTTCTTTTGCTAAAAAAAGCAGTATATGTGCATGAGGCAATCCGCGTTTTTGAAATTCAACAGTGTATACAACTGAAAAAAAAAATAATAATAAAAACGAATGTCAGACAATTATGAAGATTACTGTAAACAAATTCAAATTAAATCAAATTATGGAAATTAACGTATAATACCTGCTATCACTTTACCAAATATTTGATTGTGACGAAAATCCTTTATCAGCTGCTTTAATTTTGATCTAAAAACTCTGCAAACGATATCGGGACGATCCTCAGGACGTAAGTTCCTTGGGCCTAAAAAACGAAGGATCTCGGGCCACTTTGGGTTGCATGTGAATGTTATAAATAGATCTGGATAACCTGCCCATCTACATATCGCCATTGCATCCTGATAATTCTGAATCATATTTCGAGCCCCTCCAGTGAAAGAAGAAGGTAGAATTATTCTCTTTCCTCTAGATCCTGGATCGATATCACCACGAAGAACAGCATCCGCCAACCCATTGTACATGTCTCACCGTAGGCGAGATTGATTGAAACGGATATATCTCAATCTTGATGATTCAACCATGGTATATGCATCAACGATAAATTGTTGAAACAATCTCCTGGCCGAAAGAATAGTAGATGGTTCGTGATTTCTATCGTGGATCCGATAAGCAAAATATTCTCTGATACTCGCAGTTGTTCGACCATCCTTTTTTATTTCTCTTAGATCAGAAAATGGTATGTCTTCTCTATACCCATCCTCTCCATATGGCAACAATAGGGGATATTGTAAAGCCAAGTAGGAAGCATTAAGTTCATTGTATCCTCTGTAGGCGTCCACTTTTGGTTTCAACCAATATATCTCTTTCACCCATTGCTTGATCA